GGCGTTTTCCCACGATTTCTGAAGAATCTGGCGCAGGGCACATGTATGGTCAGAAGTGCTTCCACTGGGCTGAAAGCCACACTACTCTTGTTGTTCCTTGAGGTCAGTTATTTCGCGGCACCTCCTTTCTAGCACCTTTGCGTAGACTTTGCCTGGGATGCTCAATAACGTAATGCCCTTATAATTGGAGCATTCCTTGTGCTCTCCCTTCTTGAATACGGGTGCAATAACTCCCGTTCTCCTGTCTGCTGGTATCTTTCTCTCAGTCATCGCAGTGTGGCAGAAACGTGTAAGCGAGGACATGCCTTGTTCGTCTAATGCCTTGTGCATCATAGGACGGATCAGTTCCAGCAGCCTTTTTTCAAGCTTTTCACAGCTTGTCTAATTTCATCTACACGGATAGTATTATCCGATCCCTGCTGCTTTACGGCCGAGTCTTCCTGCGGTTGCGCGGGATTAAGGAATTCCTCAACGTGCTCCGTCGATCGCTGAAGAATCTCATCATCCTTGGTAAGAGGGTGTACAGATCTGTTCTTCAAGACTCTGAGACTGCCCTTTTTTCAACTCGGAGCCGGCGGATGGTCTGCCAGAATACTTTGTTTTTCGTGTGAAAATTCGACTCCAATACCTCACCGAACTTCTCCCAGGAATCAGCTTTGGAATTCGCCACTGCTTTCGTTGCCGCCTTGCGTGCCTCTATGTATCTCACGCGAATAGGAGGCTCTTTGTGTTCAAACAATTTCTGTCACGCTGCTTTGTTCTTTGTAACTGCCAGTTGTACCTCTCGTGTCCACGATGAATATCTTTTCTGATCTCCAAGCGACGGGCCAACCCGTTTAAATCCGCAGCATTCGGCGGCAACCTCGAGTATGCTGCTCTTAAAGAGCTGCCACTCGGTTTACATATCAGTTGTCAACACCGGGATCAAACTGTCGTGCGATGTTGGTTGCGAATTTCACTTTCTGTCCAGCGAAGATAATATTTGCTATTTGATTTTCTGGTTGCTTCTGCCAACATAGCTTCGTACTCCATTTCTTACAGCGCAGCATGCCAACGACAAGGTGATGATCGGTAGTCATAGCTCTGCGCTTGTTTTAACGCGAACATCCATTACTGAACGTCTTAGGTCCGACGATACAATTATCAAATCGATCAGCACAAGCTTCCCAATACCAGGTGTACTGATGCAGTTTGCGATGCTCGAAGAAGGTGTTCATGATGGACAATGCGTTGTTTGCACAAATCCGCCACAACTTCATGCCGTCACTGTTGAGGTCGCTAGAACCGTTTTTCCCAATCACGCCGTTGCACTTTTCAGCGTCTACTCTGACGTGC